CAGACGCCTCGGAGGGTTATCAGATAGAGGAGGAAGCAATGTTTTAAACAAGAGGGTTCGGATGGTTCTGCAGTTTGTTATGGAAGGATAGGTATCTGGATTGGGCCAAATCGGAAACATATGGAACATTAAGGTCTTTATGGATGATTTTGTTTGTGACAAAGTAAGGAGCGTTGAGGATTTTACGAAGGATTTTGGACTGTAAGGATTGGATACGAGAGCAATTCGATGGCTTAGTGGAGCCCCAGAGCTCAATTCCGTAGGTCCAAATAGGTCTTATTATTGTCATATATGCGAGTCGTTTGTAATTGAGTGAAAGCTTAGAGCGTTTGTCTAGTAAGTGTTGGAGTAGTCGGAAACGTCGAGCGGTTTCTTGTCGTTTCAGTCTTGTATGAGGATTCCATGTGAGTCGTTTGTCGAGGTGGAGTCCTAGGTAACGAATTTGTTCAACTTGGGATAAGTGGGGAATTGTTAAAGAATACTGTAGGACAGGAGGTCATAGGTTTGCGACGCAGGGTAAAGGTAATTTGATGGGATTTATTGGAGTTTATTTTAATCCTCCAGTTTTGACACCATTCTTCAAGATTTGTGATGTGTGATTGGAGAGTTTGGGATGCAATAGATGGATCGTTATTAACTGATAGGATGCACGTGTCATCGGCATAGGTGGTGATGGCAGTGTTGGGGTTTTTGCAAATATGCGTCAAATTGTAATTCGTAGACTTGTTTTGGTTTATTATTTTTAATGAAACATTATAGTCGAACAAGGAATTGAAAATTATTTTTTCCCAATCATAACATATTGCATTCACTTATTCGATATTATATTGATATTTGTTCTGAACTGAGAAAACATTACAGAATTGGGAATTCCTGGCAAGTTGGTGAGATTGACAAAGCCGTGCACAAATATAATCCTACTCTAAATGTAGGGTCCAAATACAAGGAGAAGTACCTGAAGCCATCAAAGTTCGAAAGGGATTACGGCAAGGAGATGGACTATTACCAATGTTGTTCAACTTAGCCTTGGAGAAGGTAATAAGAGCAACATCACAAGAAAATGTAAGAATCCACGTTGGATTGAATCATAAAATCCTTGGATGCGCAGATGATATAGCTGTCCTTGGATCTAATCAAGGAGGCAATGAGAAACTCGATAAGACCCTGATAAGAGAGGCAGAGCAGATCGGCCTACAAGTAAATAAAGACAAAACAAAATATAAGAAAATAAAAGGCCATATCAGTATTCTATCTAATCCATCTCCTAACCAAAGCGTTTGCGGACATACCTTGACTTTGAAAAACATTTAATAAGAATGATAATGTTTACATTTAATTAATAAAGTAGTTAGGACAAATGAATAGGCTTTATTTATTTCATATAAAGTAAATAATTCATAACAACGAAAATCTTTAGATGTGAATATCTTAAACAAAGCGTTTGTAGACATACCTTTATATGATTTTTTTTTTTTTGCAGTCTTTAATTCATATTTTCAGTTTGGCCACTTAACCCTGAAACACTCTGTATATATATATATATATATATATATATATATATATATATATATATATATATATATATATATATTCCAATGTTTTACGTGTATAGTTATTATTTTCACTTATTATTATTTTGGTATTGTTAAAATTAAAAGTGTGTTTGAGCTGTGTGCTGTATGTTGGAAGACCTGTGGTGGTGTTGTATTTTTAATTTTGGAATTTTAGTTAGTCTTATGCTGATTTCTTCTACTTTCAGATTCATGTTTTCCTATTTCCATTAATGTTATTTTTATAATCTGTGCAATCTATTTGGTATATAATGTTTATATTTTTTTCATTTTTATTAATTCTATCTGGTTATGTATACAGAACTTCAGCTTAAGCGCAAAAAAATATAATTGTAGTTTTTATTTGACCAAAATATAAAATTTTGCGACTCCTTAAATAGTACCGTATGGAGCAAGTACGCCCTTTTTCTTATTTCACTCCAATAACGTGATCTGCGCAGAAGAAAAGTTATTCCCGAGAATAGAAAAATTCAAATACCTCAGCTCCACAATAATCTCAATGAATGAGTAACGGGCAGAAATATACCAGCGTATAACTAGTACAAACAGAGCTTTCTTCTCCCTTTTAAAGGTATTGAAATCCCGAAAAATCTCAAATTAAGGTTGTACAATGCTATGATAAAACCAGTTCTAAAATATGGCTATCAACAAAGAAGCAATGGAGCAGATAACTGGAAAGAACCAAACCAAGATAGGCAGGAATGGAGCAGGCTAGTCAAGGCGATAAAAGATCTATTTGGTTTGTGATGGCAACAGAAAAAATAAATCGATCACGGACCAAAATTATGTTTGATATATTTGTAAGAGACAACTAAATAGTTATGTTATATTTTTCGAAAGTGTTGACAAAAATTGTGAACTCCTTAAAGAAGATTGGTCGATATGAAAAATAAGAAAATAACTGGACGACGCCAATGAATCTATGGTGTACGGGCGATTAACAAATAATAATAATTTGAGAAGTACATAATCTTTGACGAATTATTAATAACGGTATCAAAAAATCAATAGAAGAAAAATCTAATATAATTTCTAAAATGAAAATCATGAATGAATAAATGAAAAAAATAATTTTATTCTGGGACTACAGTCTCCTAAGAATAATAACAGAGAGGATTTAAGGGTCTTAATCTAGCTTAGAAGATTACAAAATACTAACTAATTAAATGTTGATTGTAATTGCAATTGTGCAGTTGATTGAATTAAACAGTATACAGATACAAGTAATTTTACATGTTTGCTGAGTTTTGAATGTGGAGTAGGTTGTGGAACAGGAGTTATTTGAAGGAATTTGTGGACGAAAATTGACGTATGGAGGTAGGAAGAGAGTTCCAAAAGGAGGTATTACGAATAACGAAGGATTTTCTGAAGAAAGTAGTTTTATTGGAAGGGATATTAAGAGAGTGATTACAGAAACGTAGAGTAAGGAGTTCAAGAACGTAGGAACGGTTTTTGGTTCTGAGGATTTGGAAAAGGAAAACACCGAGGAGGAATTGTCGTCGGGAAGTAGGATAAAGCTACTCCAACTCGGTGTACCCGAATGAAACATGAGAATGAAATCATTAATAAATAATTTTACTCTCCGTGTTATGATAAACAATCTGTATTATAACAATGGAAGTATTCACATTATAGAATAGTTACCGAAAATTCGTTATTTCGAGTAATTAATAACCGCATATAAAATCGAGAAGAAAAAAAACAAGTATGAGATAACTGGTTATTTTTCCAATAACATAAAGTCCTGCTGTAACGATAACTACGGAATGAGTCTGTTACTACGGAGTGTGGAATATTAACCCTGATATGTTGAATAAACAATTTAATGTCAGTTAATAAATACAATCAGAACAGAAGATCTGCCTTTAACTAAAACCTAATAAAAGTATCGAAGACATCTTATATTACAACTTTTTTTTTTTAATTTATTTTAATGAAATTTACAACTGTATTACATGAGAAATACAACAAGTAAATGTGACATTGGTAACATGACATATACAACATGAAGAGAAACTACCCATTGGTAGAACTCAAACTAAAGTTCTATATTAGAAGGTCCCGAGGCCATCTTCTTTTCAGACGCCTCGGAGGGTTATCAGGGATCTAGGAGGAAGCAAGGTTTAAAATGAGAGAGTTCGAATGGTTGTGCAGTTTGTTATGGAAGGATAGGTATCTGGATTGGGCCAAATCGGAAACATATGGAACATTAAGGTCATTGTGGATGATTTTATTTGTAAAAAAGTGGTGAGAATTGAGGATTTTAAGAAGGATTTTCGATTGTATGGATTGGATACGAAAGCTATTCGATGGTTTAGTGGAGCCCCAAAGCTCAATTCCGTAAGTCCAAATAGGTCTTATTATTGTCATATATATGGGTCGTTTGTAATTGATTGAAAGTTTAGAGCGTTTGTCTAGTAAGTGCTGCAGTAGTCGAAAACGTCGGGCGGTTTCTAGTTGTTTCAGTCTGATATGGGGGTTCCAAGTGAGTCGTTTGTCCAGGTGGAGTCCTAGGTATCGGATTTGTTCGACAAGGAAAAGAGGACTATTGTTGAAGGGTACTGTAGGACAGGAAGTCATAGGTTTACGACGAAGAGTGAAGGTAATTTGATGGGATTTATTGGGATTTATTTTAAACCTTCAGTTTTGACACCATTTTTCAAGACTAGTGATGTGTGATAGGAGAGTTCGGGATGCAATAGATGGATCTTTATTAACTGATAGGATACATGTGTCATCGGCATAGGTGGTGATGACAGTGTTGGATATTACAACTTAAAATAAGAAATACGGGTACAACGGTTATGTTTTTGTACTAATCCTAAAATAACTAAATACCAAAAAAAAAGAAAATGAACGGGGGCAGTTAAAGAAGGCGAGACGTGGAGATGTCCAGTAGAGTGCGCTGCTCACTTTCCTCCTCACTCTAATTAATCCTGGCTAACGAGCTCTTGTTCTCTTTGATCGTTCTATCATAAAATAATTGCCATTATATATATATATATATATATATATATATATATATATATATATATATATGTATGTATATATGTATATATATAGATATATACATATATATATATATTTTTAACTATTTCCAAAGGAGACAATTATCAAGTTTCAATCTGTTTTAATTATTATTGGAATAATATCTGATCATCTATGTTTAATATGTTCTGCCAACAAAGAATTTCTCAATTAATCTTTTAAACAAATATTGGCTTTGATATTACAATTAGAATAGAAAACATTGTTTTTTACTTTTTCTGAAAACTTTTTCTGATTAGGATTCACTTTGAAAATTAAGGAATCGAGCAATTAATTTTTTTTTTAAATGTCTAGCACTTCATCTTAATACTACAAGATGTAGTGAGATCGCATGCTCATCTCATTCAAGAGTTGTTCATTCATGTCCTTACTGCCCCGCAGATGACAAGCAGAGCGAGGAGAGGACTAGAGGCGGCGGGCCGGAGGATAGGCGGAAGGAGGACAAGAGTCGGAAGCCGAGGAGGCGGAGGACCGCCTTCACCCACGCGCAGTTGGCATACCTGGAGCGGAAGTTCCGCTGCCAGAAGTACCTATCGGTGGCCGACAGGAGCGACGTGGCGGATGCCCTCAACCTCTCAGAGACACAGGTCAAGACCTGGTACCAGAACAGGAGGTCAGTGTATCTTCATTCCAAATCACCTATCTATATCTAGTTAGACAAAAATTCCAATATTTTTGACTCATTTTAGAAAGCATCTATACCTAACTCGAACCCCCACCTGAAAACCAAAACCTATCCCTAGCCTATTCCCAAATAATGAATTTATAAAAGTCCATAACTGATACTCATTACACAATTCTGTTCTTCAATTTCACTTCATGCTGACGATTATTTCAAAAATACTCTTACATGATTACTAAAAAAAATACTATCACCACATAACTATTCCAATATGTTCTATATTTTTTTACACAATAATATCACGCACATCACAAAATCCAGTTCTTATTGTATTCATTAACCTTCAGTATTTGTTTTTTCATAACTTTCCTGCTTTAATTTCATTCCACTTCTGTATTTTTGTTTTCCTTTCTAATAACTCCTCATCCCTATTTAATTACTATTCTCATATTTCTTCTCTAATTTGACTTCATTTTATTTCATGTCAGTTTTATGATTATTTTATGATAAATTTATCATTATTGTACAATAAATCTCTCGCTATTTGTCGATTTATTTCATAATAAATCTATCATTATCGTGCGTAATCAAATATTATTAACTGCCTTAATTGTTTATTTATTTGATGTTTTGTTGCCTCTACGCTGTAGGGTCATTGGCAACACCTTTAAATTACACTCTGTTGTTTCAAAGTAAGAGTTTTAAAGTTTTTTTTAACTGCACTTTCGATGCCTTGTAGATTTTCTTTTAGACTCTGTGCCATGTCTAATCTTTTCCTTGTAGGTTCAAATATAGGGCAGTATGGTGTAATATGTTTTACTGTCCTTTGGACATTGCAGCTCCCGCAGGTCAGAGGATCAAGTCCTCTTAGTAGGTAGGAGTGCGAGAACTCACAATGTCCAATTCGTAATCTGCAGAGGTTTCCCATTTTAAACAGTGGGTTTTAATTTCCTTTAATTTAGATTCTTTTTGTTCCCACTTGTTTTGCCACATTTTCCACACATTCTCCTGAATTTTTTTAACGTAATCCTGTAGGGGGATTTCATTAATTGATTCCACGGATGTTGTATCTGGCTTTCTTGCCATGTTGGCTGCTTGATCGGCTTGTTCATTACCGATGATCCCGCAATGCGAAGGGACCCAAATGAACACTACTTCTTTGCCCTTCTCCCTTAGTAGCCCCCGAACGTTTCTTACATCTTTTGCGAGAGTGGTTTTGGGCCTGGTATGTTCAATGGCTAGTTTTTTTTTTTTTATAAATAAATTATTTATTGAAATATATTACAATCTGTCTCAGGGACATTAGTAATAGTGTTCACAGATCACATTCACACTCTATGTACAGTAAATAAAATAAATTATACAGAAAAATAATATATATACAATAAATAAGAATAAAATAACCTAAAAATAAATAAATAAAAAGAACACATGCATACCTATATACAATATTTACAACTTGGCGAGAGAACTCCAAACCAGACTTGTCCCTCCAACTGTGGAGGGAAAAGTCTGACTCCAGGAGTTCCCTGCAGTCCTCTCTCAACCGCGTCACTAGGGCTAAACCCAGTGGAGATTGAGCAAGAGTGCTTTAGCCACATACACTCATGTCGTGAGTGAAGAATCTGGCCATTGCTAGAACTCCAATATTTACAAACTATAAAAGATCGCGGGGCCACTGCCGTTTTAACCTCCTTGGAGGATTATATGGATGGGTGGTGCTGGATAGAGATTTTGCAAAGGGATTTGGATGATGGGTAAGGTTCTGGTGGAATTTGGAGAATTTTGCTGGAATAAGGTCTAGGACAAATGGGATATTAAGGTCATGGTGTAGGGTTTTGTTGGTTACATAGAAAGGAGCATTGGCTATTGTTCGAAGGACTTTTGATTGGAAGGATTGGATGCGTTTGATGTTAGTAAATTTTGCTGTTCCCCACAGTTCAAGTCCGTAAGTCCAGATAGGTTTCAGTATTGTCTTGTAGATCAGTAAATTGTTTTCAATGGTAGTTTTGATTTTCTGTTTAGTAGCCGGTATAGTTGTCCATATCGTCGGTTTAGTTCCTGTCTTTTAAGTCTAGTATGAGGGTTCCACGTTAGTCGTCTGTCTAAGAGAAAGCCAAGGTACCGGACTGTGTCCGAGAAAGGAAGCTGAATGGAATTAAAGTGTACTGGTGGACAGGAACTGCGTCGGAGCGTGAAGGTGATGTGTTGGCATTTGGATTCGTTTACTTTAATTCGCCCAATGGCTAGTAATGAACTCATAGAGTCTGTGAACACTACAGAATTGGTAATTTCACTTGTCTCTATGTGTTTAAGAGCTTCTCTAATTGCTAGCATTTCACCAGTAAACACTGAACAAGCCTCCGTTTGAATTGTTTTTGAGTATTAGAATTTATAACGGAATATCCTACTTCCTTATCTACTTTTGAGGCATCCGTATAATTAATAAGTCTGTATAATTTCCTTACTATTTATTGTACTAATAATCCAACTTTTAAAAATTAAAAGGCGTTTCTTTTCTGTAGTTAACATTTTTAGCTCTGACAGTTATAGATCGCGCTGATTGGCTCGTTTGACACCCTCCGAACGAGTAGTTAGAAGTACATAATACTGTTGCCTAATACTGATGATACTGTTGACGTTACATAATACCGACGATACTGCTGCATGATACTGACTATATAATGATACTGTTGCAGGACGAAGTGGAAGCGGCAGAACCAGCTGCGACTGGAACAGCTGAGGCAGCAGGCCGAGAAGGAGCCGCCCTCCGAGTGCTGCCCCCCGCCATACCAGGCGCCGCCCCCCTCATGCACCTTCCTCTCCACCGCCGCTGCGATCTTCAGGAACGTTACCTACGTCCACGGCTGCCCTCTATAGCTATAGCCAGGGTCAGTATTACAGCCTTCTTCTCATACTTCAAAAACACCAGAAACACGAACAGATGAAAACTGAAAACAGGGTGTGGTAATTATTTACAAATGGTACTCCTTCGGCTTGGTTGAATTGAGGTTATCCACAAGTTGGAGATAAGGTTTACAAAACACACCACCAGGAAGCGCCACTATTGCGGAGGAGTTGTCTTGTCAGTTCTTGCCCCCTCCACCTTACTTCATTACAAATAATTACCAAATGTAACCTTTACAATATATATTAGCAGCATTTTTTTTTTAACTTGTCAATTTTTTCTGTATCATCACTATATCGATTAAGCAAACTTTATATTTTAGATGTTATTTATAGGCACATATTCTTCGAGATTAATCATTACTAGTAGACCCCTGCGAAAAATTCGCACAGCATATTATCAAATGCCAAATTAATAAGAAAATAAAATAATGCAAGTTAAAAAAAGATAAAGAAATCAAATGTTACTTTATCGATAAATATAATCGACAAAGAAAACAAAAATTAAATCTTCATTTTTGTTTGGAACCAACATGTTCACAAATTTCAGTAAGCTGTATCTTTGTTAAAAATAGTCCCATTTCGATGATTTTTTTTTTTTCATTTTGTAGGGAATTTAGTAATCTTTTATATAATCATGGGCATTACCTAGGGAAAAGTGTGTAGTTTTTTAGTTATTCGCAAATAAAGTTTGTTTTCTTTCATAACTCGTTTGCCTGAATTTTCGGAGTGATTAGACTATTTTGCCCGCCTGAATGAGAAGGAAACCTTCGAAATTGGTGGCTCAATCTTGAAATTTGGTGAAAAATTAACGAGATATGGCTTGCCGATCAAAAACACCATCGATAAATAATATAAACTCCTCCTCTCTCGATCATAGAGACCTCTAGTCGACGAAATCAAACATGTATTCAATGATAGTACCACAATTAATGTAAGGCTGTGTGGATGCGAACTCTATGCCTTGCGTTATCTCGAAAATAGTACGTTTTTTTGGGCTTAAAAACGCAGAATCCGATAGTTCCGGAGGAACTATCCGGGTCTTGCTGTACGCAAAAAAATCTTCAAGATCCAATTTCTCCAGTATCGATTTACAGACCTACCACCGTTCCAATATTGAAGCCTAGCAAAATGTTTGTATCGACTTTATTTATTTTAGAAAGAAAAACAAAAGTGGAGAATACGATTCGCTAACCCCCGAGAAATTCTGAATCCAACGGTACCCCATTCATGGTATTTGAGCATGACATGAGCTTATATTTGGTACAAAACCGATTTCGGGCCTTACTGTAATAATATATGTGGGGATTAATGCTTTTCGGTTTTCTTATCCTGAATTAAAGAAGATGATTAACTTAAGTTTTGTTTTAATTGTGACACTTTATCTGTAATTGTACATTACCTATGTCCAATATTGATACAATTAAGGAAGAATTAAACAATTTACAATTTTCTATAAGGGTTTTAATGCTGGCTAAGGGTTATCTTTTTCAATTATACGTTACTTAAATCATCTTCTATCGATCAAACACATTTTCAGTCTACTGAGGTATATACCGGCATTACCAGGTTCCGAAGAAAATGTTTCAGGATCATGTAGGAGAGCTCTAGCGATTCATTAATAATCAAAGAACAAAACACTACTGACAATCCTTTAAATCTGAACTTTAAAACAGCCACACTGCCTGAGATTCCTCCGGTCAGTTTGTGAGACCCATCAGCCTACTGAAGACAACTACAAGGAACGGTAATAGGAATGATGACTCTACCCCGTGTACTTTAATTTGAAATCACAATGTTTATAGGATATTAGTAGCCGCTTAGAGGTTTAGTTCGTGGATAGTCTAATATAGTTAGTCTTGCACCAGCTGACTCTAAGCAGCCAAAAATCCAAGTAAGTATATGGAGCTGCTTGTAAACATGTATTGCTTGCGGAAATCCACAGACAGCCTGGAGGGGGTCACCCAAACTCATGTTGCTGTGAACCATGGATTCCATGATGCAGTGCCTGGATACTTCCCAAACAATTCCTTTGTAGCCAATTTCATAGTTTATTTTCTATCAACTTACTTGGGTTCAAGAACATGAAAAAATCGTTTAGAATCCATGAATTATGGCTGCTAAGGACTTGATCTATATATCTTTCCCAGAAACAGATCATGGAACCTCTAAGGGGCTATTAACATTCTGGATGAATTCATCAAGATTTCCGATTAAAGTCCAATTAATAAAGTCATCCCTCATAAGGGGTTTGGTTCATGAATGTTCTGCTCCAGGGAAAGAAATTTAGTCATAATAAATCTCTATATATAGCCAGGCTTCTCACAATCCTTAAACCCGAGAGAATCGGCAGAAGGACACTGCCACAATGGCCCTAAAGGGATCAGCTACGAAGCAATGGGTGGTCTGCTACTGCACCATGGAATCACCATCATCAGTAGCAACGTGAGGCTGTCATCTCCTCCTTCTCCCATGAAACAAAATTTCGATATATAACAACATTCTAAGTAGATTAAAAAATGTTTTATAACCATAAAATTTCTACATTTTTATAAATCTTTCTATTTATGTTCACAGACCTTCAGAACTAAACTTCCATGCTGGTTACAATGATCAGAATAGCTACAGCACAGAAGCTATCAACTCGCCCAATATGTAGGAAAATAAATCTCATAAAAAGGACATGACATCAATGCTTAATAAATTATTTGTTATTGTTTTTTGTATATAATATTTTGCAAGCATATGACGATGAAAATTGAGATCAGATTTCAAATTGAACCAGGACAGTATATACATATCCACAGATTTTTAGGAGAATATCACATGATTATTTTTAATTAGTATTATTGTAATTATTTTCTCTGTTAATGTGAAAATTATTTATAGGCCATCTATGTTTTTATTTTAAAATAAATGTACCACATTTCAAGATATCAGTATTCATATTCAGTATCTTACAATCATTATAAATTTTATTCTTTAATTCATGAAAATTGCAGTTAATTTAAAACGCTATGTACGGATAGAATAAAATAATAAATTATAGATGTGTTATTGACAATTTAGGAGAAAAGCTGGTTCAGCCATGATTTTCATGGGATCAAAGAAAAATATATGTAATAATAGAGATTTCCTGAAGATTTACTTTGAATAAAAAAAAAAAAGTAAAGATAATTAGTTTTCATACACTATTGAAGGATATGAAATAATGCTTTCTAATTTTGAATATTTTCATTTCTTTTGGGTAAGAAAATATTTTTACAAAATAATTTAAATCTACCAAACAGAAATAGAACATTATTCCAAGATAGTTCAACAAATGAATGAATTGAACTGTCTTACTATACATACAATTCATTCATTTTAACATTTTCTAAATCTCATTCTAACACAATCAAAGATAAAAATTAATAATTTCAGTTATCTCACAGAAAACTGCTTGTTTTTTTATAATCTACAAAGAATCAATGTTACAGTTTTATTTATTTGAAATATTATATTTATTACTTATTTCTTTTTTGTGTGAATTACTGCACTTCATTCGACGTTATTTATTCATGTCATTAAAGATATGCAAAGATAAGAGATGATGCTTATAATTTAAGCCTGAAAAAATACTATTAATAGTATTTATAATATATACACATTTTTATCTAAATATATCGTATACATACATGGGGTGCAATATGTAAACTGTACCTTTGTTTATTAAAATATCATAATTTATGTATTTTAAAACATACATTGTATAAATATAATACTTTCTTTTTTTCAAATAGTCATGCTACACGACATGCGAGTACAGCTATTTCTTATCACAATATTAAAAGTATTACTACAAGGTGCTTTACACTTAACTTTTCAGAGAAATTTTATTATTAGAAATGATTAAAACAATCTACTAATGAACTGTTTATTTTTAAAGCTGTATAAATATTTAACTATATTTCCATGTTTCACATTCACACACATGATTTTCACTTTCTATTGTTTTGGAAGAGCAATATCAAAATACGTTTCAAATCTCAAATGTCTTAAATTTTTCCAAGTTTATACAATATTTAATTCTTCAGGAAGAAGATGTACACCCAGTTAAATTATATCGTCCGCACGATTGTTAAAATAATGAATGTGCAACGTTAATCAGGCTCACATTTGTTGCATTAACATGGTGCAGACAACATTGCGTTTATTTAATCTATATGATTAATTTTCCTATTTTTAAATTACTTATATTATATTGTATTGAGTAATAGTTTTGTATTTTTAAATGTATGTATGTATGAAAGTAGGCGAACAAGCTCGAAAATTCAAATTTTCTCAAATAAATGAAACAAAGTACAAAAGAAGGTATATTTTCTTCCTGAAAATAATGAATTTATAGCACCATATTAATATGTAAAAAAAATTAAATAAAAAGAATATTGGGTATTCAGAATGTACTAAATCAAAAATTATGTAACATTTACTTTTTTTTTTTTAATTCTGAACTTGCCATGGTTAAATAAAAAAAAAAGAAAATGATAATCTTGTATATATGCTTAAATATTACAATTTCTAGTCAATAATGTATTTCTATTGTATTGTAAATAATCATTGTGTTTGTACAAATTCCACTAAAGTAGTTGTCTTGTTAAATGTTTGTTTATCAATATATCTGCAATCTTTGTTGTTAGTGTTTAACGATAATCAAATTAGTTGTAATTGTTGGTTAGTTTTCTAGTATTAAAAAGTAAAATTTGTTTTTAAAAATACATTGTTTTATTAAATTTTTCTTTTTCCATCTACTTTAATAAAATACAACATAGAAAATAAATTTTGTTTAAAGTAAATTTAATCAATTAAAATCTTTCGGCGTTGACATTTCTTCGACATCGCTGCCAGATTTTAGCATGCCCTAAAAGAAGCATTCCTGGCTCTAGAACAAGAAACCAAAATTCTTGGTTTGGTCATCAACGAAGCCAAGACAAAGTATTTAAGAATAGGATCATCAGAGGTAAGGACAGGTTTTTTCGAAGTTGGACCATATAGATTTGAGAGGGTGCAAAGTTTCGTATACCTGGGGTCAGAAATAATGACCTATACCAGGAGATGAACCGAAGAACTGCCACAGCCAATCGAAGCTATTTTGGGCTAGCAAAATACTTCAAAAGCAGGCATGTATGTAACAGTTTACTCTCCCAAAAAAAATTATCTTTATTTTTTATGATGTTTCGAAATCACTTTAATATCCCATCAACCGACTAGAAACAAGAAACATTTTTGTTATTTGTATTTATATTTTTTCATGCATATATTTTTACTTTCACTTACCTAAATATGTAATACATAGTAAGGGGAAGTATATCGTGAAAATTTTTGAATCTCAGATTTCAATAGAAATACATGTTTTGAGGTCCCCTGAGTCCGATAATCAAATCCTGCAAAATGGTCTGTGTATGTGTGTATTAGCAGTCTAGCTCAAAAATGAAAAGCAGTCTAGTACGAAAATGAAATTTCATATTTAAGGATTTTATATACCTGAAATCTTACAGCAAATTTTTTGTAAAAATCAGCTAACCGGAAGTGCCACTTTATATCAACACATTTTCACAATTTCTCAAAAATGGCTCTAAAGATTTTGATTTAACTCAGTGTATCATTGTATAATTAAGTGTTCTTAAAGATCATTCATATCATTTTACTGAGCTTAAATGTCCAATGTTCATGTACGTCATCCCCTAAAGTACCTTTATTGGTAGCCGCAATGTTGTTTTCTGCCACTATAGTATTGCTAGAAGTAAAAAAATCTTTTATGGATTTTTGGCTAGTTTTTATTTTGTTTTGGATTTTATTATTATGGTTAGTTGCTTTATTATCAGAAGGTTTTGGTGTAATTTCTATTTGTTTATTATCTTGAAATCACATTTTGTTAATGATTGATTTAGGGAACATATTTTCTATCAAAATATTGTAAATTTTTGTTTTTATTTCTTTTATGTATTTATTATCTGTAATTATACAAGCTCTACCAATGAGATTTTTCGCTGTGTTTATTATCTGATATTTTGGATGTTGGCTATGGAAATTTAGTAGTCTATTGCTTGTTATATTTTTTTGGGTCCATTTTTTGTTAAAAGAGTTATCAGTAAGTCCAAAAATCTTAACTTCTCATCTGTAGATTTTTCTATTGTGAATATTATTCTTTTGTTATAGCTATTAAGTATCTCCAGCGGGCCTTTAAATTGATCTTTTTCAGTTATTATGAATTAATAGTTTATACATTTATTTATTTAGACAGGAATAATTATTGTTTTGTTTAAGGATTTATTTAATAACTCATTCATAAATATACCATGTAGATATACTCAAATTGGATCCCATCAGTATTCCATATATCATTTTGTACATGCTATTTTTATATCTAAAATAGCAATTATTTATGCATAATTTTATGCCTTTAATGAATATTTTTTTATTTTAAATCTGTTCCTATATTTGTGAAAAGACTCTGTACATCAAAACTTGTAATGTCATATTGTTTATTTTTATTTAATTTAAGTTTACTTAATATATCTTTCATTTCAATTGAATTCTTTACATCATGATTTTTATTTTTATTTAAATTATTAAGAGCACTATTTAAAAATTTAGATAATTTGTTTGCTGGTCCTGATATATTATTTAAAATAGATCTCAAATTTTTGTTTTCTTTATGTAATTTGATAATACCATATATAAGGAGGGATTATATAATCATTAGGTGTTAATTGATGTTTTGTTAATTTTGTTATGTAACCTTTTTATATATTGTATCTACATATTTCTTGTTTTGATTTGATAATTTAGGTCCCGGTTCTATTCTTAATTTACGGTAGGTATTATTATTGTTAGTCAGACATTTATTTATCATATTCTTCGACATACATAATAGCTATTTGTTTTGTTTTATCTGATTTAATGAGACATATATTTTTGTGGTCTTTGCTAAAATTGCTAAAAAAATGTTAAGTCATTATTTATAATTTTCATAAATTTATTATTTTCAATTTTATGTTTTCTTTTATTTAAATAATTATTGATTTCAAGATTAATATGATTTCTTATACAATTTATATGATTATCTGTAATAATTTCACTGGTAACTATTTTTTCAATATTGGCTATTAATTTTCCCATTTTATTTGCTTAATATTTTATTATTATGTTCGAAATTCATGCAGAGATTTTCATTAAATGATAACATAATTCTGATAGGTATTTCTATTTTATTCAGGTTATTTACACTATTTTTAGTACGTAGTGAGTTAGATTCTTCTATACTTTTTTCCAATGAATTTCTCCAATTATTATTACAATTTACCAAAATAGGAGTTTTTAAATTATTAGTTTTTATGGCGTTTATGTTATGATCTATGATTTGTTATTTTGTATAGCTTTACGTTTTTTTCATTTTATTCATATGCGGATCCAGTGTTCTGTTTAGTTTATTGTGTAAATTTAGGTTATATATATTTTTGTTTAAATGACCTATATAATTAAATTAATTTTGTATCATCAAGTTCTGTAAAATGATATAGATTTGTAGTTGCTTACAAATTAAGAACAAGAAAAACTTCAATTCAGTTTTTATATATTGAAATAAAAATTTATCTAGGAAGGTAAAATATTATCCTA